GTAATTGTATATAGTACGACTGGAAAATATTGGGTATGTGTTGTTGCTGTTTACAAAGACTGAGCTGAAGAACGTGTTAAAGCCATTGGCTTTAACGGTTTTGTCAATACAATCTTCATTGTTTGGTCCTTTTAGGGGTGGGATGGATCTTGAGCCTTTAAGTTTGTTGTTTACAAAATTATAGAAGGCACGGGTGGATTTTGTGCATAAAAGGTTTTCTTCTTGTTTGATGTGATGATTGGTGCATTCAGTCTTTCTTTGTTGGCATAAGGTTTTGTAGCAGTTTTTGAAGTTAGCTACGTAGTTTGTTTTGTTTTTTCGCCAAAGAGATTTTTTTCTGGATTGTAATTTCCTTATTGTTAGTGGAAGAGCCCAGAAGCCGGTGCATTATGACAATGTCTTTCAATGGGGAAGTTGCACCATCTGAATTCCTGCCGATCGTATTGCTCTAAAGGGGAACCCTTCCCTTAAAATAATAGGTATCCATTTTACTTCCTTCCTTATTCCACTATTAGCCTTTACTCTCAGTTCCTCAAAACTAGAGTGGTAGAAGGTAGGAGATACAAAAACAAAAAGGGAACCTGATTGGAAATACCACCATCCTCCTAGCTACAAATAAATACAGAGTAAACATGCCCTGAAAGAAACAGAACAACAGGGTCCAAACTCAAAGCTAGGGAAATTAGCAAGCATGAAGAGAGCACCTGATGTCTAGCCAACTAGGGCTTGCAGGCTATGAGTATGTGAATGGGACAAATCCAGTCCCAATGAAATCTCACTCAATCAATATAGTTGATTGCCAATAAACATCTGGACAAATTAGTAACAGCAGATCTGGGAATTACAGGTAGTCCTCGATTTACAGCTACAATTGAGCCCCAAATTTCTGTTGCTAAGGGAGACATTTGTTAAGTGAATTTTGCCTCCATTTCATGGCCTTTCTCTCCACAGTTCTTAAGTGAATCATTGAGTCATTAAGCGAATCTGGTTTCCTCCATTGACTTTGCTTGTTGGAAACTGGCTGGGAAGGCCACAAATAGCGCTCACTTGACCGCAGGACATGGCAACCATCATAAATACATGCCAGTTGCCAAGAGCCTGAATTTTGATTATGTGACCATGGGGATGCTGCAATGGTCATAAAGTGTGAAAACAGGTCATAAGTCAGTTTTTCAGGGAAACAAATGCTTGTAAATCAAGGATAACTTGTAGTTTTGATAAAGTCATGCTCTGAAGTTGTAAATGCTCCAACACTGGAAGTTTTTAAGAAGGGATTGGATAACCATTTGTCTGAAGTGGTATAGGGTTTCTTGCCTAAGCAGGGGGTTGGACTAGAAGACCTCCAAGGTCCCTTCCTTTATTCTCTTCTGTTCTATTCACAACTTAAGAGTTCTTCTGGGCTTAAACAGCCAATGGAAACTGGAACCAGGACATCCCAGCTGCAGATGGTACATCAGCTACAAATCTACCTTTGGGATGGTAATCTATGTCCTCATAGCCACTTGGATGGGCTGTGGACTACAGGCAATCCTTGACTTACGACCACAATTAGAACTAGAATTTCCATTGCTAAGCAAGGCAATAGTTAAGTGAGCTGCACCTGATTTTACAACCTTTTTTTGCCCCAATTGTTAAGAATATCACTGTTAAGTGAATATGATCATTAAATGAGTCTGGCTTCCCCCATTGACCTTGTTTGTCAGAAGCTGGTTGGGAAGGTTGCAATTGGCAATTACATGACCCAATGAAGCTGCAACTATGTTAGTTGCCAAGAAATTGATCTTTGATTATGTGTTTGTGGGGGTGCTGCAATGATCGTAAGATTGAGGACTGGTCATATGTCCCTTTTTTCAGTGTTACTGTAACAGTCGCTGAATGGTTGCAAGTTGAGGACTGTACTTGTCAAGATTGAAAAACTCTTAAATCTCCTATGATTATTATTGCTTTTCAACTTGCCAAACTACTGGGGGGAGGGAAGGGTGAAAAGGAATGTGGAGGCTACAATCTCTAACCATGAGACCGAAGGACACTTCTGCAGGTATCTGCCAGGATGTGGACTGTTATCAAAACAAAAGGCTGGTTCCTAATTGGACAATGTGGCCCGTTCCATGGGAGGTGGGGATGAAACCCATCTTTAACTATACAGGGTTTTGTGCAGGGGTGAAATGCTCCTGGTTCGGACCGGCTCGGGCAAGTAGGTAACGATGGCGGCGGGCAGTTCGGAGAATCGGTAGAAAAATCTCTTCCCCCCCAGCCTCCAGCTTGCTTACCTTCTCTCTTTGGACTGAATCCTGAGCCACTGGTTGCAATGCCTGCCTTGCTTCGCTTGCTGTAATCCCTGCAATCCATTGCATCAGCAAGCAACTGAATCTCCCTGCTTGCAATCAAGCTCATCGGTGAGCAGCTCTATCTGGCTGTCTGCCTACCTGCCTGCCTTGTCCTTCAACTGGGTAAATTTTTTCCCCCTTTAGGAGCTTTAAAAAAAATAGTTAATTGGTTTTTTTTTTGTTCTTTTTTTAGACCTAGCCATTTAAAGTTTAGGAAGTTTTAAATTTAGCTGCTTTTATATAAAAATAAAAATAAAATAAAATAATATTTGTGCAGCTTTCTGAGATTTTGTGTGTTTCTGTAGTGTTTCACTCTAACTACACAAACACATAAAATCTCACAAAGCTGTATGTGGAATTTTGTGTGTGTAAAGTGTGAAAGTTGGTTTTTTGGACTTTTTGTGTCTGTGTGAGGTTCCTGCTTGTTGCAGGGGCCATTTTGGGTCTAGCACAGCTGCTTTTACATTATGGGTAAGCCAGTTGTGTTGTGTTGTGTCTGTGTGTAAAGTGTGAAAGTTGGTTTTTTGGACTTTTTGTGGCTGTGTGAGGTTCCTGCTTGTTGCAGGGGCCATTTTGGGTCTAGCACAGCTGCTTTTACATTATGGGTAAGCCAGTTGTGTTGTGTTGTGTCTGTGTGTAAAGTGTGAAAGTTGGTTTTTTGGGCTTTTTGTGGCTGTGTGAGGTTCCTGCTTGTTGCAGGGGCCATTTTGGGTCTAGCACAGCTGCTTTTACATTGTGGGTGAGCCAGTAGTGTTGTGTTGTGTTTTGTAGGTTAAAAAAGAGCAAAGAAGTGACGTTGATTTGGCCATGCCCACCTGACCACCAAGCCACACCCACCCAATCACCTGACCACCAAGCCACACCCACTAATTAAGCCACGCCCACAGAACTGGTAGCGAAAATTTTTAGATTTCACCCCTGGTTTTGTGGGAAAATTTAAAGTTGGTTTGCTTTCTTCTGTGCCAAAATGATATACTCAATAAGATTTTGCTTTTGGGATTTTAAACTTCCTGAAGATGCCTACTTTTATTGGGTCCATTAGTCAGACGGTTGACAGTACTGTAATATACTCTTTGGAGTTAATCCAGAAGTTACAACTGTACAAAATGCAGTACATGAAGTTGTGACAAAACAACACTGTGAGGCTGAAATAACAGATATTTTGAAATTGCTGCAATGGTGTCAGTCAGATTCCAAGATGCTGACGAATCACAGCTTCACCATCTTTTTATGTGAACAAGCATTAGAGCATTTTTTATTGATTTGTAAGCTTATCAGGAGAGACAAGCAAACACTTTTGTTACAAAGCAAGGGCTCAACCTATATACTGAATGACAGGGACTTTACTGTCATTTTTTTTCTCATCTTCAATCATCTCTACTTCCGATGTAGAGCATTCTCACCCCTGTAATTAACACTCTATATATGTTGTCTTTCCTCTTGTATTCTTAGTATCTGGTATTAAGTTGCAAACACACCTCGGTGCAGTTTCCCTTATTTGCATGATGAGTCTAACAGCTATTAAAGCATTAAAAACCTGACTAAGAAAAAGGATGCCAATTCTACTTCCCCCACCTCACCCCTATAAGCAATAGTACTTATATACCACTTCACAGTGCTTTACAGCCTTCTCTAAGCGGGTTATAGAGTCAGCATATTGCCCCCAACAATCTGGGTTCTCATTTTCCTCACTTTGGAAGGATGGAAGGCTGAGTGCACCTTGAGCTGGTGAGAATCGAACTGCCAAACTGCTGGCAGTCGACAGTCAGCAGAAGTAGCCTGTAGTACTGCATTCTAGCCACTGCACCATCGTGGCTCTTAATTAGAGGAATACCAACAGGCAATCCAATTTCTCTTTCCTAAACTTGGACTATACAGCTAGTCCTCAACTTACAATCATAATTAGGACAGGAAAATTCTTTGTTAAGTGGCATGATTGTTAAGTGAAGTATCAGATGACAACACTAAATTTGACAATCTTTTTTGCCATGGTCATTAAGCGAGTGACTGACTGGCAACTTCCTGCTCGCTTCCCCATTGATTTTGTTTGTTGGAAACCAGCTGCGAAGTTCTGCAGATGGCAAGAACATGACTCTTGGATGCTGCCAGCCTCATAAATATCTGCCAGTTTTTCCAGGCACCCAAATTACGATCAGGTAACTACAGGTAGTCCTCGATTTACAACTACAGCTGAGCCCCAAATTTCTCTTGCTAAGCGAGACATTTGTTAAGTGAGTTTTGCTTCATTTTACAACTTTTCTTGTTCACTGTTGTTAAGTGAGTCACAGAAGGTGTTAAGTGAGTAACATGGTTGTTAAGTGAATCTAGCTTCCTCATTAATTTTGCTTGTCATAGGGGATGACCCCAGGATAACCGTCGTAACCATCGTAAATACGAGTCAGTTGACAAGCATCCAGATTTTGAACAAATTATTATGGGGATGCTTATGACAAATGGTCATAAGTCACTTTTTTCAGTGCCTTTGTAACTTTGAATGGTCACTAAATGAACTGTTGTAAGTCGAGGACTATCTGCACAGGGACAGTCATAAGGGCAAGGACCATTTGTAAGTCACTTTTTCAGTGCCGTTGCAAATTCAAACGGTCATTAAACAAAAGGTCATAAGTGGAGGACTGTGATATATCGAGTGTGGGAACAAGGAGGGTGGGCTACCTTGCGTCAGCGCCTTTTCCAAGTTGAAGGACCTGATAGCCAAAGTGCTTGCTGTGGTTTGATGAGAAGAGTATCGCTGGAGAAGGATCTATATTGTACCCCAAAGATCGTGAGGGGCCTGTAAAAAAAAGAAGAGGGGTCGCTTTTAGTCAGGGTAGAGAAACAAGAATACATCAAGTACAGGCAGTCCTTGACATACGACCATAATAAAGCCTGCCCATCACAGTCACAAGTCAGGACGGTCGATTTTACAAACACTTTTGTGTTGATCATTAAGCAAATGCCGTAGTCATTAAATGAACCAATGGTTGAGTATGGTGCGTGGTTTTTGTAGAAAACTGGAAGTAACTGCTGGTTTTTATCCAAACCATCCTCAAGATCATGCAATTGTGGGATGCTGCAAATGATATAAATGTGGCCCTACTGCCAAAAAACAGGCCACAAAGGTTTTATATATATAAATACAGTATATATAATTGATTATATATATAATCAATCAGAATAAAGCTGGAAGGTACGTTAGACCAACCTCCTATTCAAGCAGGAGACCCTACCTTTTCAGACAGGTGACTGTCCAGTCTCTTCTTAAAAGCCGCTAGTGATGAATCACCCACAACTTCTGAAGGCAAGCTATTCCACTAGTTAATTGTTCTCACTGTTGGGAAATTTCTCCTTAATTCTAGGTTGCTTCTCTCCTTGATTAATTTCCTTCCATTATTATTTCTCTTGCTTTCTGGTGCTTTGGGAAATAAGTTGACCCCCTCTTCTTTGTGGCAGCCCTTCAAATACTGGCATACTGGTAACATGTCCCTCCTAGTCCTTCTTTTCTCTAGACTAGCCAAACAGAAATCCTGCAATTGTTCTTCATATGTTTTAATCTCCAGGCCTCTAATCATCTTAGTTGCTCTTCTTTGCCCTTTTTCCGAAGTCTCAAAACTGGATACAGTATTCCAGGTGTGGTCTTACTAAGACTTTATAAGGCAGTACTAATAGGATTCTTATTTAGAAAATTTCCCAGCCTGCTGAGTTAGCCTTTCTTATGAATCTGGAGCAGAGAAGAAATTGATTTAAAAAAAACAACACCTAATGAAATTTGCTCTTTTCTGAAAAGAGTAAGAACTTAAACATAGGCTTTCTGTAGGTTCATAATCATAAGCCCACAATGAATACTAAATAAAGACAACTATTAATTTCAGAATCGATTCAAGCATACAAAGAGGCTTCGTCTGAAAGGTTAACTCAATGTGGGCGGTACTTATTTAAAACAGATATCAGTATTTTCATAAGATAATCGAAAAAGGATTTCCCTTTCTGTTATTTCTCAGGAAGAGTGGAAAATCACTGACCACATTGGCCTAATTGTGGCAAAAGAAATACTGATCTGTGCAGTTATATGCTCCTTCAAATATCAAAAGCAACTTTAAAATATACTATCTTGTCTGTTAATGCAGAAAAAAAAACCGTCAAGGATTCAGATCTTCCTACACTACCGTTTTTGTTCTCCAAACACTCAGAATATTTTTAGATCAAGCCACCAGTGTCCTCACTAGGACCAAAGTTGAAATCAAAGATGGCACATGAGATCACTCACACAGCTCCCTGAGCTGAGTATGATGATCAGCATGAAACTATAATTCCACTCTCCCAACCATCCATGATCTGTTTTATTTGGCCATCACAGATTAGATTTCAGATTGACAGAGTTGGAAGGGACTTTGTAGGTTATCTAGTCCAACCCCCCGCCCAAGAAGGAGACCCTACGCTATTTCTGACAAATGGCAGTCCAATCTCTTCTTGAAAGCTTCCAGTGATGAAGCTCCCACAACTTCCGAAGGCAACTTCTGTTCCATTAGTTGACAGTTCTCACTGCCAGAACATTTCTCCTTTTTCTAGATTGAATCTCTCCTTTTCAGTTTCTATCCATTATTCCTTGTCTGGCCTTCAGGTGCCTTGGAAAATAGGTTGACCTCTTCCTCTTTGTGGCAGCCCCTCAAGTATTGGAACACTGTTATCATGTCTGCCCTGGTCCTTCTCTTCACTAGACAAGCCATGTCCAATTCCTGTAACCGTTCTTCATATGCTTTGGTCTCCAGTCCTCTAATCATCCTGGTTGCTCTTCTCTGAACTTTTTCTAGAGTCTCACAATCACAATCAAAGTTAAGCTTCAAAGCTGGCAAGATTCCATTCCTAATTTATCAAAACTTCAGAGAAAGGTAAGCATGAAAATATTGAAGCCCTACATGGAAGAAAGAGAGCCCAGAAACCAAAGAGGCAACATGAATTAGGAACATCCACCATGGAGAAAATGGTCTCTACTACCACCATGTCTGCTGGGAAACTCAAGGTGTTTTCACTGAATCCCAAATGAAACGGACTGCTTCTCCAGGCTTTGGGAAATGACGGGTTATGAAGGATCTTTTACTTCACCGAGTTCTTCCTTGCCTGATCAGCAAGGCTGAGGATGTATGGGGTATTCCTCAACTTACGACCACAATTGAGCCCAAAAATTTATGTTGCCAAGTAAGACAACTGTTAACTGAGTTTTGACCCATTTAATATCCTTAAGTGAATCACTGCAGCTGTTAAGTTAGTAACATGGTTGTTAAGTGAATCTGGCTTCCCCATTGACTTTGCTGGTCAGAAGTTTGCAAAAGGTGATCACACGATTCCGGGACACTGCAGCCGTCATACATATCAGTCAGTTGCCAAAAATCTGAATTTTGATCACATGTGTATGGGGATGCTGCAATGGTTGTAAGTGTGAAAAATGGCCATAAGTCACTTTTTTAGTGCTGTTGTAACTTTGAATGGTGACTAAATGAATGGTTGTAAGTTGAGGACTACCTATAGAGGATTGCCTACAGAAGTAAATTTTGTACTGTATGGACTAATATAATGGGACTCATTTGCACAAAATATAGTAGATTAAGAACCCGATACTTACATAAATGTATTAGTAATACAGGTAATCTTTGACTGACAACCATTCGTTTAGTGACCGTTCCAAGTTACAGCAGCACTGAAAAAAAAGAGTCTTATGATTGTTTTTCACACTCGTGACCATTGCAGTATCCCCATGGTCATGTGATCAAAATTCAGATGCTTGGTCAACTGGCTCATATTTATGACCGTTGGAGTGGCCTGAGGTTATGGGATCGCCTTTTGCGACCTTCTGATAAGCAGCCAATGGGGAAGCCAGATTCACTCAACAACCGTGTTAATAACTTAAAAACTGCAAGTGATTTGCTTAAATGTTTGTCAGAAGCTTGCAAAAAAAAAAAAATGATCCCATGAACCCTGGAACCGTCATAAATATGAGTCAGTTGCCGAGTGTCTGAGTTTTAATCACATGCCAACTGTCGCAAGTGAAGGACTGCTTCTAGTTTGTTTGCCAATAAACAGATGTGCGTACTGTACTTTAAATGAGCCTTCGGGATATTAGGCCTTAAAAAGAGCTTGATCTGAACGAAGGCTTGGGAAATTGCTAGTGCTGGGCTAGATAGAGAATGGATTCAGCCATTTCATAACCATCAGAATCCGTCGTACCACCAAGTCTGTTTCAAGAGCCCATTCACGGTTTTGGAAGCCCTTTAGAAAAAGTTCTGCAGCTCCAGATCTGCATGAAAACTTTACAAGCAGATGCTTCAGCTGTCACACAGGAAGAGGCCTACTTTGATCCTATCTCTCCATTTTACACCCACAAAGGGAAAGCAACACCTACAGTAATTCATTGCCTAAAGTGCAGTTATTACTGTGCTGTGTGGTTCTGGGGAGGTTGTAGACATCCTTCCCCTCTGGGAATTTTTTTTTTTAAAAAAGACAACATAGTTCAGATTCAACTCTTCCACCATGAGCTGTTTTTTAATTTTATCATTGATGGTAAATAAATACATAAATAAACAGGTCAAGAAAGCATCGCCTGGTGTGAATATACCTTGAAAGCCAAAGGCATTAATCCCTGTTTGTCTACTATATTCAGTGCTACACAGATCTGTTGCAACTGTACATATTCTTCTAATACAGGAGTCCTCAACTTATGACCACTACTGAGCCCAAAATTTCTGTTGTTAAATGAGACATTTGTTAAGTGAGTGTTTTTACAATCTTTCTTGCCACAGTTGTTAAGTGAATAATTTTTTACTGTACTTTCTGGATTTGATATTATATCTTATCTTGCTTCTCCTAGTTGGGGAGTTGTACTATTGGAGCCTGGGATATTAGGGATTATGTCTATTTATGACTTTCCTTTTATCCGACTGTTGTATTTGTTGTGTCTGCTGCTTAGCGTTATGACTACAGCGATCTAGAAACCCAGTAAGTACGTACAGTAAATAAATTAAAATATGCACCAAATTATATACAAAATGTAATGATAATTTTAATAGAAAATACCCAGGTTGGGCTGACTGAGGTTGATGTACTCATATCAACAAAACACATAGAGAAACCCACACACGCACACATCAATGATATTAAAAAGGCAGGATAGAATATTTCCCCTAAAGGAGAAATGGGAAAATCTTAAGAGAGGCAAAACCCAGCACCAATATCCCTCCCCCAAGGAGAGACTGAGGGGGGCAGTTTTTAGAAACACAGATTTGGTAATCCATTCAGAAAGACTGGGTCAGACAGAAACTTCAGATAAGCAACAAGCCAAAGGTTGACAAGATTAGCTCAGACAAACACCTAGGATTTGCATTTCCCCTGTTGCCTATAGAGCTAGCCAAGACCCCTACATGACCCCCATAGAAACTAAAAAGGTATAAAAACCCACTCTACTCTCAACTCCATTTTGTCAGCTGTCCCAGAATCACATGCTTTTGGTGGTTCTGTTCATAAATGAACCAACATTCTTTCCAATCCGCCTCCATTTTATTCCTGGCTTGGAACTGGATCTGGATTTTTCTTCTAACAGTACCATTAGCTTACTCAGCACAATTGCATTTATAAACTATTTTATTTTGTTTAGTTTTTTTTTAAATTTAGTTTCGATGAGCTCAGTTACATCTCGGTCTAAGAAAAGTACACAGAAAAGACAGCCTGGAAATATTTTAATCAAATGACAGGCCTATTTTTCTGTCTTGATGCTGAAAGAGCAACTACTGCAGCTACTACCTC